GTAAAGGAAATAAGGAATCAACTAACATTGAAAGAAAACAAGTGATGCAAATAAATAAATCCGAACAAAAATATGTTATTTGGAGGATGTTATTCTCTGTTCACAAATGTCAACTATTACGTGATCCGGAGTTGAAAAGACTAATGTTCCATAAGTCGTTACACTTTAAACAAGTTTAGCAAAGTTACAGTACTCATGTGAGCTGACGGCGCCTGTCGTTTCTTGGGCATGTTACTCACCAGGCAGAGATTTTGTTGGACCCAGAGATATTACAAAAAATTAGATGTGGGCTGTTCAACAAAAGACCGTTTATGTTTCAAAGACTGTTAGTTGGTAACGCAAATACAGTGCGAGGTCATGTAATGTAAATCCCATCGTTATTACTAACGCCTGGCAGATGGATGAGGGGAAAAACGGAACCTGCCATAGTGAGAGTCCAGAGCTTAGTTTTTTTTTAAGTGCGTGATAGCCAGCGGCTGAGAATAAAGAAAAAAGTGATGCATTCTCGGTCACGTCAAAATGTGAATCCTTACAAAACGCGGAAAAGCGCTTGCGTAGATGAAGAAGATATGTAAGAAGCACTCTTGCTTGGAAATGTAGTAATATTCAACATGGAATAGGGCAAGTTTGCAGATGGACGCTAGCATTGAAGGATCTAGCGGGAAAAAAAATGATCTCAGCTTGCAGATGACAAACGCTTAAATATGTATGCTTTAAGTATACGCAAGAATTCCCTTGATTCGACTGGTAGAGCAGTACATGTAACCCAATTTATTACTACATCCGCTAAAATAACCTCCGTGAGAACTACTCATCGACGATTTATGAGAGTCTAATTAAATAACATCAGCCGCTAATTGGACTCTTAGTAGATCAAGCGGTAGACCTTGTATAAACAGGAATAGACTTACACAAGTATGGAGTTAATTGTGAAGTTTGTACCGAAACTGACCTGAGCACATCGTCCAAATTTTCAGATACAAGATGCGGTCGTCACGGAAAAAACTGCGTAAACAAATTGACGTTTGAAACAACAAGGACGGGCACTACTGGTACAACAAGAACTTCAGGGTCGTGACTTTGGGAGATCGACGGCAATGTGGTAGCGCTTGCTATAATGCGCGCATAGCAGTGCGATATAGCTGCAGAAAACAGTGAGCAGAATGACTTTGACTACTAACGCGATGATGAACGAACGTTGCGGAAAGGACTGATAGCGGGAAAAGTAGAATGAGTGTGTAATCACGAAGAAAGACTACTGCGCTGGGAGTGCGCCGTCATCATTATGCAGCAAGGGGTGGAAGGACTGGAAGGAAACCTTCTCCATTTCTGACCTGATCAATTTACGAAAGGATTTCAATGGATATGCAATCAACAAATTATAAACAATGATTGGAAGAACAAACATTGGCAACAAAAAGTAGAATACTACAGTGAAGTTTTCAAGGGAATGCTTAGTAAACAGGGAAGTACTTATATATGACAAATAGCGAGGGGGAGTCGTCGAACGATCGACGTGCGACGCCAACGTTAAGAAATTGGTTGATTGTTGTAGCTATTAGCCAGCTAACGCTAACGCTGTCGTGGCAGCAGATATAGTATATAAGCACAGAATTAAAACTGATTTAGATGAAATAATGAAGATATTGATCGTGAGCTCACACTAAAAGTTCCTAGTCTAAAATCAAGACGCTACATAAACCCTAAAAAAACAAATAGTTCTAGCGTCCAGTGAAATACACTCATTAGAAGCTACACACATAAGAGTACTCAACGAGCATTGTTCTACTTACGGACCAATAAGTGCTCTCTGTATTCGTCATGTTCCCTGTTCCTCCTCTCCTTGCCCGAACAATCCCCTCACTTGAGCTGTCCAGAGACATACTATACATCTGTCATATGAATAAGCAGTCGCCGTAACTCCCCAGCTGAAGCGCATGTCCCTATATCGCCTTTTTGACCTTGACCATGACACATAGCCCAACTCAGTTGATCCGAAAAAAGGACTCAAATGTGATCAAAGGAACCTAGACTTGGACGTACCAAAAGCAAAATTTAATTTTCTTTGAAAATGCTTCCTAATAATGCCTAGTTCTACTATGCCTTTCTAAACAGTTAAAGGTTTCCTTTTTCACCTTTTCCTGCGATAGGAGAACAGTATGTAACGTAGATTCACTAATGAAGTGATGTGGTAGGAATGATATTGGGTTAGAAAAGAAGAGATAGCTGCTGACAACAGCGAATTCGTTGCCCAAAAAACACGATGCTGCTTCGACTTTATATTTTGGTGCAGAAGCATTAGGGGACAGTTCGGACAAAACGATTTGAAGGCACATGTACAAGAGCATAGTTGAACGACATAGCTTAAATTTTTCTGAACTAATAGATAACACTGCTCGTTCACGCAATATATTTAAGAAATTATTCTAAAATATACATTCGTCTTTGTGGTTAGAAGTATTTTATAAAATGAAGTTTTATGGACAACATGTCTAATGCTCCTACGCATAGTTCCAGAAATAATTCTCATTCGCTTTTATATCTTGCACCTTGAGACACATCAGTCGGTACGAGATTCTTTTGCAGTCCGTCTGAGGCAAGCGATCGTAATGAACTTTTAGGAGACTAAAGTAAGATTACTTTCACAAATTCATTTTTATGTAGACCTCGAAGGGTGAGAATTCGAAATTTGCCACCTTACCCTCACATTTATAAAATATTTCATACCAACGGAGTAGATTTGGTTATCATACACAAAAAGCCGGTACTTCACGTGAACGATTAGCAACAAGGAAAATCAAATTTATTCGAGTTTACTAAATTAAAAAAGCCAGTATCAAAGATAAAAACAGCACCCCGAACTTATCAAGGCCGCCAACCTTTTATATACTATAACACATTCTTTGTGATAAAGAAACCTTTGCACTCTTCAAGCCTTGTTCTAGGCCTATTTTAATGATTTAACTAAACGGCACAATAACTAGTTGGACCTAGGTTAAAACCTAGACATTGTTCACACTGTTATCATATTCCAGTTATTATTTCATAGTTAAACACAGATAAAACTTTCACTATTACTGGATAGACCTGTCCATGCCTTATAAAATGTTTAATTTGAGCCAGTGCCTAGCTTCCATTTGACGTTCACGCAAAATTGGTAGGATGTTAATTCAGACTACTATATTCGGTATACTAATGCTTTCTTCAATAACAGCAGGAGCAAAACAATACAACTCTTTTTAGTGGTTGTTATAACATAGGTATTCCACCCGAGACAAAGCTAAAGTGTCGTTACGTATTTCTAGTGTACCCAATCGGTTTGAGCTCGGTAGTGGGTTAGCTTTTGATCTACAAGAAACTATGAAATACTTGCTGCATTGTGCGAAGCAGGTACCCGCCTGCTTCAGACCATGCACCTCTTAGCACACATACACCAAGGTGCTTATATGCCAACGCTTGTGTTTTCTATTTGAGGCTCGCTTTGGCCATTAATTTAGAGTTATGGTACTCCCCTAGAAAATTTGCATTACAAATACTTCAATTAATTTTTTTTTAAATTAAAAAGGTATATTAGTCTTAAATCGGGATAAACCTACACACCTCGCATCCTAGCACCCTTAACCACTCATCTAAAGTTCATCATGATTCATTGATTTCTGTCCTACAAAAAGAGCCGGCATATAAACACTAAAACCCATGAATATAAATATATATGGCTCAGTTTAATGTTTTAGGGTCTAGCCGTTCTCCATTGAGGTATTTCATTGTACAATTCAATCGGAATAGAGCTGAATGTAAAAAGTGTGAATGTCGCCATATACCAAAGCAGTCCGTGAAACAACTGGATCCGAATTTTTCGTGATAAATGATTGGCTTGTACCAATTTGAAACCTCGAGTAGTTCAACAGCTCTTTAAGGTAAAACCTATGATTAGGTCAATGCTTGTTAATTCCTCTTTTTTTTTTTTGTTTTATGTTTCAAATCTGCGAATCGATCAAGCGCATAGTATTCACCTCAACAGAGAATGCAAAAAAACGCTACATCATCTAAGGTTCTAGCTCGGAACGCGCCATGTGTAACTACAATACGAAGCCGAAACAACTTGCTGAAATATAAGGGCCTGCAAATTGCTACCAAGATGAAATAAGTCCTCGTACACCCAAATGCATAAAAGTGTAGAATAGTACTAACTGATAAATTTGCACACTGTAATTGAGCAAAAAAAGTTGCATATATATGCTTCGATCCATTGTGTCCGATCGTTTATAGTAAATTTGATTTTGTTATAGAATATGCAATGAAAACTTTGTCCAAATCAAAGTACGATAGAACAATCAATAAGTGGGCGGCATTTTTTGGTTTACTTAACTCAAAAAAAAATGCACGGACTATAGTCTGCTCTGAACTTGACTTTACAAAAAAAATTGCGCGCAAGCATTTTCTTTCCTTTAAATTAACTTATTTCGCAAACTTGCTTCAATGAGATTGAGGCCTATACACTATGTAGACCAGACTATACCTTTAATAAGGCATTCGGTTAATAGAGTAGAACTTTCACCTACTAAATCCTATGGTAGGTTCTAGTGTTTCGATATGTACGTTTTTAGCCTAATAACGTATAGGATATTCCAACAGTGCGAAATATCATCAGCTTAGTTGCAAATTATGTATTCAGTATGTATTCCAAATACCAAGAAAAGCCCCTTAGCTTTTTCGCTACCTTTACTTCTTGAGACCTGTTTCAATTCTACATAGCTTTGAACCATTTTCGTATCGTTTCAGCCTTAAGGGGGTTGTCAGATGCCCGTTGCATACTCACTGCTAAGTGTACAGGCACCTGCCGAATATCAATCAATCTATTGTCCCAAAAACAGATCTCTGCTACAGCTACAAAAAGTAAAATGAAGTTAACCTTTTAACTTAAAAACAATAAAGGTATAGTCATCATTTGTCTTATTAATACCCAGCTCTGAAGTGTTCAATGTCAAAAGATCACCTACCTGGATAAGACGAAGGGAACTGCCTGATTCTTTGCCATAAGAATATCAAGTGGGACGCCGAAGACTCGATGATCGTGCGCACCCGGGTGAGAAGATTTTCGTCGCGCTGCCAGTGGTGAACTCAATAATCGTCGAACGCGTTCCATGCGCGTTTCGCCTGGAGCCGAAGCACAAGTATCCTGCTGGGTTGCTGTAGTCCCGGCAGGACTCGGGCCGCCTTGGGTGTTCGTGGGAGTCCCGGTTACGATCCCGGAGCTCCCAAAACTACGCACTTTCATCACGGCGCGAGAAGCTACCCTTAATTGCTGATCTAGTGAACAAGCGCGTCGCTTCAATTACGTCTTACCTCTGCCGTATATGACTGCAGAATTTCAAGCTAGCCAATTGGCGAGAAAGATATTTACACGTTGACTGAAGTGGTAATGCATTATCACACTTTTCCGGTATATCTCTCGTGTTTTTATAGCGTTGCTTTTTCTTCTTCCAATTGCTTTCATACGATTAGCTTCATTACGCTCTTTATTTTTGCAAACGAGCACATAAGCCCAGTGAGTACGGGAAGGCGGAGCGATAAAAGAATAATAAAAAGGTTTTCGGTATTGATGATAGCCTAAAAGTGCCCGACGAGAAGAATTGCAGAGTTGAAGAAAATCCGCACAATCGAGCATTTATTGATGTCGACTAGACTTCAACACTTTCAGCATGTTCTATTACTACTAGGCAGAAGAAGGCAGCGGAATACGTCTACACACAGTAACGCATATAACCTCAAATGCACGCACGCTCGCAGACTGGTAGGCAAGTACCTACACGCGTCGATAATTTCCGCGCGTCCTTGCTATCGTTTGTTTTTTCTTACTTATTTATTTATTGATAGTGACTTTCAGACGATAGCAACAGCGATTAGTAATAGTTGTAGGTCTCCCTGGTACTTCGTTCTCTGTGTCTTCCCTCTTGTTGCTTCCCGCTAAACGTGAATTGGAGACGTAGTGTGGAAAAGCACCAATTCCAGGCTCACCCGCCATTGCAGCTGACCATGTCATTAATTGCGATAGTCATCTATCATTAATATTATATGGTGATATTGCACCTTTTTTTTTTCAGATACAAAACGATCATTGAGAAGAGAATTACTGGAAGATGCACAATGTATTGCGTGTGACTGTGTAGGGGAAGGGGAGGGAAGAAAAGAAAATACAGCTGTAGCACTCACTGATCACTTGCACTCAAGCTACGGTAGCCCAAGATGAACAACAACCTAACACACGTTTTTGGGGGAGGCAGCGGTTTTACGGTCAACAGTTACATTTCGTTAGCCGATGTTGGTTCACACTCTACGGCTGTTTCAAGTAGCGACAAAAGAATAGGCGCAGTTTGGATAGCATCAATTGGATCCCCAGTTCGCTCGAGGGATCTACAACTCTGTCGTTACACTTCTGTTTATCCTCTTGTTAGTACACAGCCTTAGTGCCTGTCCTATTTTTGTCTTGCAAAAGTGTGCCACACTTAAACACCTCTTTTACCACTCACGAACACTTGTACTATTGACCCAGCACTGGGTCGCTTTTGCACGTGGCGCTTTCGGCACCCCTCAGTCTTTTGGGGATGGCTGGCCTGGAAATGACGCTCGTTAGGCAAGCGCTGTCATAAATTTACCAGAGCCACTAGTCTACAGATGGTTCGGTTGACGTTATCGTCACGGAATTCGTTGTCATGCCAATACCCAGAAGAATCTAAGCGAACCTTAATTCATCAATCAGTCATCAGCTAATTAACATGTACTTAATTTATCCACAAAAGAGCTATTATTTGACGCGATTACTAACATCTGCAATCGACAATAATTCTTCACAGTCCTACCACTTGCTTTTCGCACCGCCGGCAGTTATTAGCACAAAACTCACAATATTACTCCACATCGCCCAGCACTAATAAGCTATAAGGATCGGCAGTATCGGCCTGCCGCCTCGGCTGAAATCACTTTTTTTTCCTCTTGTTATTGTATTGTATTTTCAAAATATAAATATACATACATACATACATACATACATACACCGCCGTAGAGCTAAGACACTTGTGCTATGCTGTGACAGCTACCGAACCATCTGGGATGTTACTCCTAAGCGGGACGAAGAATAAGTGAACGGTGGAGACTAGACAAAGGATACGGCAGTTCGTGGTCAATGTTACCCTCCGTGCAGTTACTAGCTGGTCCGCTCTGCTTGGGCCTGACTGCTTCGACCACTCACACTGTTCTAATCGTTCTGTCTGCTGCTATGGTCGCTGTAGAATCGTGGCCCCGACAATCCCGATAGGTCGTCGTCAGCGCAGCTTCATGATGCCAACGATGGTGGCAATAGTGGCACCGGAGGAGCTCCGGAGAAGGAGCGCTGGTGCGCTTGTTGCTGTTTGTGGCAGTAGCTGAAACAGCAGTTCTGACGGTGCTATTCAGATGATGATGTCGTCGATGACGATGGCGGCAGCAGCGGCGTAAGGAAGATGGTGATCACGTTATCTGCTTCTGGCGCCCTCTCACTCCTGTCGCTGGTGCTGCCGCTGTTCCTGTCGTTACTCAGCCACTTATTCGTTAGCCAGTGCCGCTGTTTCGCCGTCCATTCGCTGGTTCTTTCGTTCGCGTTGTTTGCTGCTGCCTAACGCTCTTGCTGCTGTTAGCTTGAAGGTGGCGCGGGCGCAGCGCAATGCGCCTCAGCTCGACGCTTCGACGGCAACGTGGTTGTCGTCGTTGAAACAAGCAACAGCGCCGCTGGTTCTGTTAATAGTGCTGGCAGTGGCTGTGACGGCAAGCGGCTGCCGCAGCCTAGCTCACTTTTATAATCGAAGACAGCAAGCAACAACCACTGCTGGAGTCGTCTGTCTCTTCCTCTTTTCTCCCTGCCTTTCTTCTTCTACGTCTGTTTGCTCGCTTATTCGCACACTCCTTCGCCGCGTATCCTAGCGATTCACAAAAATGCAGCCTATGCTGCTACGGCTATTTCCGGTCCCAGTAGTTTTTTTACCGGTCAGTAGCAGTCGGTATTGTTGCGGACGCTGTCGCCGTTTTGCAAAACGATTCGTTTTCTTGTTGTTATCCTCGGTATCGTAGTCGCCCTTGTTGTTGCTTTTAGGGGAGGCGGCAACGACGGTTAGTGCATTGAAAGTTGTTACGATCTAGGACGCAGTAGAGCGAGCGCCAATGTGCGCCTACAGTGGCTCTGGCAGGAGCACTAGAGATCGCGTCTGAGTTGATAATATCTGCCGAAAGGGAAAGGGAAGCGACAACGAAAGGCCAAACAGAGACACGGACAATCACAGTTAGCATCAGTGGCAACAACGACAATAATACGCACACGTATACTATGAATTAACGACGTGCAAGAAGGAAACCTACGCGTACGAATATAACACCGCACTCTTCTACCCAGAAGGACCCGGTGTTAATGATTATAATGTTATAGTTGCGCGACCAACTCACCATTATCATCGGTCGGGCGCTTCGGCAAGATACCTGTGCGGAACACAAGTACGAATGAGAAAAGAAACAAGCAAAAAGGTATTTGTACAAGGTCTGTAATTCGATCGAATATACCAAGCGCAATTTGTCGTCATTTTACGAACCACATGATATGGCTTTAAAATGTAGAAACGAACGAAATAGATTTAAGGCGCTGACTAGCACTTGGAATCGCGCTTGATGTTACATCTACGGGCCTCGGCCAAAGCTTGGGCTCTTTCTGAAGTCAAAACGAGACAATCTGCCGGACTGTTTCACTGTTAAAATGTGCCAGCGACCTTAATAAAAGCACTATATTTTTTAGTCTAATATTATCCGTTTTGTTCGATTTCAAAATATCCCCCGTCCGTTATTCATCATAGCAGTACAATTTTTAAGGCCATTTAACACCTACAAAAAATATTCTCTATTTTGTGATGGTAAGTAAGTGTATTCGTGGAAACAAATTCATCTTCAGTATTTGCATCTACAGTAACGGGCAGTTGAAGGTCCGATGTATACGAGCAATTTAAAGCAGGGAACTTGTTATGACGTTTAATGTATGCGTGGCAGGCAACGCATTAAATATCGAATTGGAACCATAGAGCGGTTCTCTTACCTTGTGGAGGAAAGATGTCTTTTTTTTTTCGAACCTTACGTAAAACAGTTGTATGTTTTAATTTTGCTCAGAATATGGATACGTAGGAGATCGTTTTCCTGCGATCGTGCACCTCTATGCCAGTGAATATTCGGCTCAAACTAGGGAGATCGAAAAAGCAGATCGGAGCGTGCAAAACAGAAAGTACACGAATATAATGGAACGCACATTGAAGTGGTGACATGTGGCCATTTTATTAGTTCGGGTATTCCAGTTCACCAGATCGCTTTAGCTATCAACTGTCGGTCTATTTATAGACTGTTACTATATATGGTCGGAGAACGCCATCGATAGACTCATTCGGACTATCCAAAGTGGGGTGAATGGTTATTCTATAATAATCGGATCGTGCTATGATTTAATACGTTGAAGTACGCATAATACCAATCCGAAAAGTCTCTGTCTGTAAATGGTGAATCTCAAGCTTCATTTAGTCTACTCTGTATTTGTTCGTCCGCGTGTTGGCTTAGTAGGTTGTTAATCTTACGTATGCGTTGTGGTGTAGACTCGAATTCGAGCATAGACCCATTTCGTTTTATACTGGAATGTCTAACGGCGGTGTCGGACCAAAAACTCTAAACGATATGTGTCAATCTTACGCTAAGATATGTGACTTATGATGTGCTCTCCATATATCTCCTAGAATGGATGAGGGTAATGCACAGCTAAATCTTCTTTTCATTGCAATAGTTTGCGTATGCCTCGCTATTTTAGCACATGCGGTATAAAGACTTAATTGTCCATAGGTTTTTGGTCTATTATGTTAATATATACACTGTGCATATACTGTGCCGACGAAGAAATGTCCTTGGTGGATGATTTGGCCCGGCGTGTGACTGCTATGTCTGGTCATCTCCGTCGCTGCGATTGCCGCAGCAGCCAGAGCAAGCAAACTCTTGGCGGCCGCTCGCCAGCCGATAAGCGCAGAGAATACAGAACATGTTTTTCCAGCAACGGCTAGTACCGCCGCTACTGCTATAAAAACCGCGATGCCAATTCCCTCGTGTAAATCTGTTTGCACTCTTCTTCCCATTTGCCCTCGCGGAACAGAGAGCATCCTGCCGCCCCCATTCTCGCACCGCCCTCATCACTATTCTTAGACGAACAACTCTCATTTACATATAGGTAGTCATTTCTGACGTTGAAAAGGGAACCGATGTCAGTGCCTGCTCATCCTTACTTAGTGACAAAGAACAAACAGTAGCGGCGTTGCTACTACTGCCAGCCAAACATTTGGGTGATTCGAGGCGCAAAAATAAATACCACCCATAAGAGTGAATGAACTTTAGGCGACGGAATATGAACTATAAACCACAAACCATTGCGAAGAACTTAAAAAAAGCAAGGACACGGAAAGCAATATTGGCGATGTCATTAAGCCGTAGTGATAAAACAACGATGACCCCTGATTTTCGATATCTCTTGACCCCAGATAACAAAAAGACCCTTTGAAGAAAATGACTGCTTTTTGGGCAACTGGATAGTTTATTAATCGAGTAGCTATTCAGCCGCACGAATTATGGTAAGATATGATACAGGATTGACACAATAGGCAACACGCGCATACACATTTCCTCACCCATTTCTTCCCACCTGTACTACTAATCAGTGTTATCGTTTGCAGGCTCTGATAAGGCGATTCAAAAATAATTGAAGGCGCGGAATTTAGTATGGAAGAGACATCTTAGCCAGGATCTAAACGAACACTAGTCAGCTGCCGATAGTCAGCAGCCGAAAGAATGATATTCAGCTCATATTGTAAATTACTGCAATAATATAATTGCTGCTCAAAAGATCACATAACATGGTCAAAGTACAATATGTCATTCATACACTCAAATTACCTGACCAAGGTGTAAATAGATAATAAAGACGGTCCGCCATATAGCTGATATTGATTCTTGCTTTATAAACTTGTTGCACATTCTAAACAAGTTATGCAATGTACTTTAAGAGATATACTGATGATTCTTAATATACTGATTGTCCTGCGCAAACCTTTAACTTTGATTTCGATCATCACGCTAGTCTTGACAACGGTCTTTTTCATTTTGATGTTTACCACTCATCACGTTAATGCGTAAATATATTGTTATCGTTGTAGTGAATCCTTAGAGGAAAGGATATTTTCTTTCTATATAATCTACGTTTACCTAAATCCGGTAAGTTGACCTTAACGAGTGATTATAGGTATTTTGGGTACTGTAACTGCTTGTGTTATGTGCTCCTTTTAAAATTGACTCGGAACAGTCTGTACAATAAATCGTAGCTTTACAATAATTTATTCAGAAACTATAAGGTTGTATATTGCAAAACAGCCATCATTTTTCAGAACGCGAACATACTACGCTTGTTAAATCTATGCTTCTAGTACATATAAGTATTCTTTTTGTATAAGTTTTGGAGAAGGTGTCGGCATGAATACAACTGGAGTACTTGATTGAAGGTATAACTTAACATCACGTTTACTTCATAGCACTACGTATTAAATTTTTTAACTGTGTGAATATTTCCAAACGCCGACAACGTGTAGCTGTTCACGCCGCAGCTTTGCGTCGTATTCTCTCTTTTCGAAGTAAAATATATTCTAACTTTTTTCAAACAAGGTGAACATGTTTGGAGTTAAGGAAGTGGAATGGAATGGGTATTTCTTAATCGAATTGTCTAATCGAGACATAGCTTATACAGTAACGTGCGAGCAACGTAGCGCACTACAGGTTATCCACCTGCGGTAAACATAACATTACCGAAAAACGGAGCGGAATAATATTTTACGTGATCGATATCCTTGTTTTACCTGTGGAAAACGGTTAGTGATACTGCGACTAATCTAGTTCTTATTGTTGTTTACAACCCTCGCATTTCGGAAACTTAAACCCATTCACGCAGGCGTACCTTTCATTTCACACAAATGGTCCTTCGAGGTGCGATACCTTATATCTTTTTAAGAAGTGCATTTAGAGGCGCACATTTTAGTTAATTTTTTTTTTTAGATTTTATCCATTTTCTTCTTGAAATTGAAATTATGAGATAATTTTCTAACTTTTTTATCTGGTGGCATGTGCTATTTTGCTATTAAGGCCCGTGCCTTTAGACATTTAGGACAAGCCACAGGTAATATGGTTGCTTTGAGAGGTCTTTCCCTTACACAAAAATATTCTGAAATTGTCAGGAGGTTGGCAGTACACCTGAAAAATACTATGCAGATAAGTTAATTTACAGTTTCACACGTTATGAATACTTCAGAATAAGTTCCGGTAACCGTGCCTTCGGGGGAGCAGTTGTAAAGCTTATCCTGCTGCCGGGTACGCGTAGGCTCAATGCGCAATACCAGTTGGCGGCTCGACTGCATGCGCACCTCCGTAGGAAGAGTTCCAGTTTCGCTGCTGTTAAGACGATGTGGATTGAGTTGCCACGATGCTTCTATGACGGAAACAATCGAAGACCTTAGTCTGCTACGCTAGTCTGTACTTCGAAGGAGATCACATTGTTGTAGACTGTCTGAGCACTCTGTATGCGTCAGGGAAATTCCGGCTTCTTCAGTGCGCTTTTCGTTTTTGTCCAAAGGAATCTATGGGTCAAAGAATCTATAAAGCAAGTAATGGCTGACGCCGACGGCCCATTCAACAGGCGTCAGCCTAAAGTGCAGTAGAATTACTGAGAGTCATTCAACATGATTTGAACTCTTGCGTTGCGCTTATGTAGTAATATTTACAAAAAGGAATAGGCCCCACCAATCATGTATTAAGGTTTGCTAAACGAGACATAGAATTTTAGCTTACTTAACCGTATTAGCTTTCCTGATTAAAATGAGAGCCTGGTCTTAAAACGACTGAGTAATTCAGTCAAAACAATTATTCTAGTGCTTTTTGGTATGCGCAAATACTGCAGAATTTCACCTTTATAGGCGTATACTATCAGTATTTACTATATCATTTGTACCTTCATGTCTCCCACAATGTTAATTCACCGTAATTCTTCTACGACTTAGTACAAGATAATTCGGCTGGCAATAATTTTTTCAATTGGCAAACTTGCTCTTATCAATTTCAAAAAATCCAATGGCGTCTTCGATTTTGACTAATCGGATCGACTATTCTAAATAGGTTCGCCTACAGATAGAGCCATTTTTTACTAAATACAAGCAAATACATTGAACATATAATTCATGCCATACCTACTACGTTCTTACGCAAACTTCGTATTTGAACAACTTTCGGTTTTTAGTTGGCAGGGTGTATTTAATGTTCATTACATAAATATACGATAGGAGAACAAAGCATACTCCTGTCATAGAATCCGCTAGTCGTTGGAGCTCCTTACATCCAACTGAGAACTGCCTCACCCATTGGTCGAAAGACATGTAGTGTAATCATGCTTAAAATCTACTTTATGGTATAAGTATGCTGACACGAGCTTACTTCTATTGAATCCATGAAAAAAGTATCAATATCTACGCACATTGAATACCTTAAATACCTAGCAAAAAAGTCATAATCTGATTGTAAGTGTTAAAATAAAAACTTCGGACCAAATGCCTGAGCAGCACGACACTTATTGACATTTTTAAATCCCATTGCTCGAGACAGCAATCGACACCTAATGGCTAGGTGTTCCTAACAGGAATCGAGTTATTCTTTTTTGCACGTGAACCACATTTAAAGAATTCTGGAGAATGTTGTGAAAGCGACTGATTTTGCAACGAAAAGTCAAGTTGATTCCCAAGCGCTAAAATTTGAGACGGTTGCGCTTAGTATCGACAGCATATGATTCGTAATTCTGCCGTAACCTGTGTATCAAAAACTATGTGTGGCATGGGATGTGTTCAGAAGAAAACAGAAGATTTGGTAATATCATCAAAATAACAACCGAGTAAGGCGCCAATGGCAGGTTTCTTTACAAAACGCATAAAATTCAAAGTCTAAAATTAGCTTTCACCTGTCTTTTCATGTACCAGATTTAATGTCCGGTGGAAGTGAAGAGCGCAAGAAAATTTGATCGTCCCGCAATCTTACTTAAAAACTTTCACTATGATCTTTTTATAATTATTAAGCGCAAAATATTTACGTATAGCATGACCTTAGCTACAATAGACAGAAGTTTGCTAAAATGCTTGTACTTGTAACACTGAAGACTTTAAAGTCCTCTAAAGAAGCTCGTACTTACACAGCTGATCAAGCTGGAGAAATTATGGCTTATCGCATATATATGTAATATATAATATATAATAGTATATGTAGCCTTTAGAATAATAATTATATCCAGCCCAAGTTACAAGACCGCATTATTGTCCTTTCAGTTATTAAAAACAAAAATATAAGTTCTGCTTCATTGTTATCTAAATTTTCCATTGAGTTAAACATTAATTCGATGTCTATATTCGATAGATGCATACAATTTATAGAACAACTGTAGAATACATGAAAAAAAGGACATTAGCTAACAAACCTAAAAGTCTTTAAAATTCCTGTAAAATATTTTAGCCATTCCCAGCAGCCCCTTAGCAAAACAAAATGTCAAAAACACCATCTTTAGATTTGCTAAATGAGTCGCCGTAAAAGAAGTGACGACGTAGTTCGAAGCGACCATATTAAGCGAACTGGTGGGTCCAACAGGATTCATAATAAGTTGAACATTTTATTGGGTAATTCAATGTATTTGTTTTACAAATAGGACATAAGTACTATACTACAGAGATCGCGTATCGACGAAAAAAGAATTAGGCGATGATCATACCATAATTGAGTTATATGAGCCTACCCAATGACAAGTTAGAGTAGCCCTTTTGATTGGAAAGCGACCGTCACTCGAACTTAAACCTTACCATATATATATCAGACTACATATATTTTTGCTGAAACTGAAAAATATTCAAAACAAAACAGTGTAGAACTCGACGTAGGCCAGTTTTGTATGTCACCTTTCGGAGTAATTACCCCAATAATTTTCGTTGATACGGAATGGCTTCGAATTAATAACGAACACAAAACAGAGATTTTTTTAGCAAAAAATTTGCGAAGAAACGTTGCACTTATGATATGGTCTCTCAAATACAGGGAACTTCTAATTAGATCAGATTTGGTTACAGATAATGCTTTCTGACTTGAGATATTCCTTTTCCTAAATTTCCTTAGATTCAACGAAGACCAATTTAAAAGAAATATGTGACGAATACAGGTTACGATATGCTGCTCATTTCATATTTTGTATTAAGCAGCCAGTAAAAAGAGTGCAATATAATGAAAAATAAGAACGCAGTTAAAATTAACATATAATTACTAGATTGTTTTCTTCTGGCTGTTTTACTATTTTCTAGCTAATCTAGTATATACATGAAATACGGAAACCACTTCAGAAACCAATTTTATTAATAACAAATATGTTACTATTGCTAGGATAACATTTCCTTATATGTACTATGAAAATATGAAAATAAGCAGGTGTTATTGCGCATTATTCAAAAAACGATTTCTACTTTAATAGAATGCTCTTTAAAAAATAAAAACGAAAATGAACAGCATAGATATTTACTAAACTGGTTAGCAACTTAGATGAATCCTTAAATAGTTAATCCTATTAAGGGTGGTCTATAGCGTTGGTTAGACAAATATCAAACTTACAATGCACATTTTTGTGCACATAGGTGTGTATCATTATGTCGTCCTTGTAGCGTCTCGCCTCTATCAGCCTTACCATCACTGTATATAGTTAGGCATATGAATTTGTGTAATAATTAGAATCTATAGTATAACATTATTTTATAGAAAATTAAGGAAACGATGTTTACGTTAAAATATGTTATCCTTAATATCAAAGTTTATTATGCACGAAGGTATTAGTTTTTACTGACATACAAAACTTACGGAAAAAAATTTACGTGTGGCACCTACAAAAAAGCACTGAAACAACCCAATATTTAGTTGTCCTTATTCACCCAAATTATGTTCTTATTACCTTTACTATTGAAAAATGTTAGTAACAAGTAAATACCTTTAATCCCATTTGGTTGTATAAAACAAGGACTCTATAAAGCAACCTTTTCTTATAATAAAATCCGTATTTTGGGTTCCTGGCTTGAAAAAAGTGTGGTTAATATAATCGTTTAAGAATATCTTTTGTGCTTTTTAAGAACATCGTACACAACCCCAGATGTTGTGTCGGACGTAGAAGCAGTTCAGAAGTGTGTTTCAAATTCTGAGGCGTGCGCCATAATTACTCCTTTCAACACACCAATAAAGAGAATACTCGGTAAAAACTCAGCTTTTTCCGAATAATTCTTACCAAATTAAAATTTATATGAAATTAAATAATTCAGCTTTTATGTTTTAATCAAGGCAGACTAGATTTTAGAGTTAGATTGTCTAAACTTGGAAACTGAAGTTTGAAACTGTATCGAGAACCAGATATTTGCGACCATAATTTCACCACGATGGTACTATCACGAATATCACCTATTTACAAAATGATCAGCATAATTCGAGTATTCAGATTGATATGCCTGTTGTTCTGCTACTAAAAATGTCTGCAATTTCTTATGTCGATTCCGCTTGCATATATATATATATATATATATGTCAAAGTCACCAAACGAGATGACATACTTATTAAATAGAAAAAAAAACTTAACACATTTTAACTCTTTGTAGAGCGTGGCAGCCGTGGTTCAACTCGGCCATTGTATTCTAACTCGGCACATACGCACATTCTACAAGCTTTGTTTACTATAAGCTGATTTTAACCTAAATTAAGAGCATTGCACCTATTCCCTGCAGTTTAATGGATATTGATCGTACATATAGTGTTAAAATTTAGTAGTATGTTGTGTTTAAACTCAAAACGTTTTCGTAATAATGCAGTTAACATGTCAACTAAATTTAGTAGCACGTTAGGTGGTATTCGATACTGGGCTAAGATACATTTAGTTTCTCGCTAGAACTTGGCCATTTTACATAAAATTTCAGACATTTACTTAGGTTCAATGGAAGCTTAAAAACTACTAAAATAAGTACCACCCTAAATCATTGAAAGAAATATTTATTAAGCACCTCCATCGCTCTTACATTCTTGTTGCGCCTGCTTCTTATTTCGTTTTGGCATTTTTACAGGTTTTTTTTTAATTCATTGCACCTATTAATGGCGGCAACCCTTGAGAAAGTAAAGAAATATACAACTTTATTTCTCTTTCTTACCTTAGAACTTTTTGTTGCTCTCATTCTCTGTTCTACCACCTCCCATTCTATTTCATAACACATTAGCACTAAGTCGCCCGTAAGAAAACTAAATCAGAAAATTTCGCATCTACATTCACCCCGTGTGCATACTTTTCTCGCATTCCGTTCATCCTCACTTTTATTGCAATTTCGTAATAGCAGTAATTATATCCCTCTTTTTATAATAGACCTTCAGAGCATATGCAAATCGAAACAGTAGCCACTAATTATAACTCTTAATATAACTTGAGTTGGAATTTTCCGTGCATATAGCACTAGGAACAGACAATCTGGCGCAAGACAAATTCTTATTTTCCCGTTAGATAAAGAAATGGGACTTCCCATTTTTCGTTTTTTAGCCTTGTAATTATTAACAAAAAATATCAATCTGGGTTACTCACATAGCCCAAGACAGTTATATTATCGTCGTTTGATGTAGTCAAGTAGTATTTACTGTTCAAGTTTCACTCAGGGCAAACTCCAGAGCACAAAACTATTACCTTCACTTTTCTCATTACTACAGATGTCCAACGAAGACGAATTTATTTATCCTAAACCAAATAATTTAGCATACACATAAATATAGAGTAAATGACTGTTTCGATTATTTCAAGGCGCTCACCATATAGATCATAATTGTCTATAGATGGAGTAGGCGTTTTTATTTTTCTTAAAATATTATGATGTTTATACTTCAGCATTATGAGCGTGTTAAGTTCGTTCAGTTACAACACTACCCGCATTAGATCCAGTGCTCATTTTTTCCGCGATAGAACAATGGTAGTTCCCTTCGAAACAATTGACTTCTCGAATCATTTTCTCTACCCATGCAAAGACATCACGACGTAAGATTTTTATATTATGTGACTCACGGATAATAAAAATACACCGCTGCGGATTACAGCTTCTTCTCACATCTTCTGTCAAGTTTTAGAGTTGGCGGTTATTAAGCTCTCCAATCTAAGCCCCGGAAGATCCAACTTTGGCTAGACATCGTAAACAAAATGGTTTATATGGCCCTCCGAAGCAATTTATAGTCACAGCAGCATTTATAACGTTGCAACCTAAAGTTAATCTATCGGCGAAATCACTACTTGTTTGAGTGCCCAAGACTGCCAGCTATACGTAAATTAAAAAACCTCGATTCGATGTAAGCTTTGAACAAATTAATTTATAGGGTTTTGAAAAGCTGGCTACCCATTTAATTTTTCTAAATTTCACGATAAACAAGAAAAAGAAAAATATCTTTGCTAGTAGAAATATTTTAACTGATGATTTTTTGGTGAAACTCATTTCAGACGAGTTCATAAAGCCGACGAATCTGCAATTTTTTGATGCATTCATACCTTTTACAACTTGCTAAACTCGTTAACCCAAACCTCCTACATTGTTTATCCTATACAGCTATTTACCTGGCTACAACACCCTAACGATTCCATATTACAAGAACATCATGCCGATGCCAATTTGAAGGCCCCCATTGATTCGGTCTTGTGGCTGATATTTTAGAGGCACAACATAGTTAAGTTCGATCCGAGTCATGTGTCCCATTGATAGGATTAATCCTAAACCTGTCGACACCCTGAGGTCCTTCAGGCGTTCGGTGTTCCATTCTTCACAAAGAGCACCACCTGTAATAAATCCATGCAAGCGAAGGTACTCTCCAATGAATCCGTGTCCACGTCTAAATGGTAGTGGCGTATACAGATGAGCCCCAGCTGACCAGTAGGTCGTGCCACCTAGACTCGAACCTTCTGCATGAGGACCTACACCCCTAAATTGAAAACCACGAAGGTCAAGTGGGCCCCCAAGAAAGAATTTGTCGCAGATATTGTGACTTCCATCAGTGGTCATATAGCCTGCATTTGACGCTACTTGAAAGACGAGGTCATTGAACAACGAATAGTTAGCCTGGTGCTCGAATTCGTGTTTCATAAAGTTAATATTCCCACCTAAGCTACCTCCAGCAAACTCTTGACTCAACCGAACAAAGTAACCACATGTCGGCAAGATAGTGTTATCCCTTGTATCGACTGTAACGGTATGTTTAAGTGCAGACTTCAGTGAATGACCCATCTGCTCTCGCACTGGAAACGGAACTGTAATACCGAGTGGATTAAGTTCTCGCCATACGCCCTCCCACCGGAAAGTGTGATGGAAGCCTTGCAAAGATTCAAAATCAAATCCTGCAAGAAGGCCGCGATTGCACGCCCTAAACGTATTCCAAGGGAAATCAGCAGCCTGTTGGTAAACAGTTGCCGTAATACGGGGGTTGTGCCGTCCAAGAAAGGGTTTACTGGCGGTTAAATTGAAACTGCTTAAATGTTTTGTCCCATATTGATATTCTGCCTGGAGAATTTCTCCGCGTCCGGCAAGATTTGGTAGCTTGACACCAACAACCATTGAGCCCTCATTGTGGTCTACCAAAGTGGTGACACCGCCAACGACTCGCTTTCGTTCTTGCACCTTAAACGTGACGTCGTACTCATTCGGAGCGGCATCAGGGCCTTTTGACGTGTCTATATTGACAGCAATCTTTTTGAATGCATCGAGCATCTCTAGTTGCCGTAGAACATCGGAGCATCGTAGGAGCACCTAAACAAATAATCGAGAAAGGAAATAAGACTATTAGCATGATCAAAAAAAGCATGATTAACAAAATATGATGCTAGGTTGACCGAAAATAGTCGTTTATAGTAAATATTATGATTTCGCCAAATTTAGTTAGAATATTCTGCTAGATATTCGCGATTAACTTTCACTACTAAACTATTATATTCAGAAAGAATAAATAAACAGAAAAGCAAATGAGAAAGTCACATGATAAAATAAGTACCACAAAACTATGGGTAGGCAACGCCAATAAAGATTATTCTATTACCTACAAACAAAACACTTAATTATTTTTAATGTAAATATGTGACCTGTTCGGCAAAATTTTCTCGAGTTAATCATTCCAATATTAAAGATTTATTGATGATTTAATAAAAAAAGGGCTTATTATATGTTACTCAATGACATTACATGTCTTGAACTCTTGAAATTAAATATAGTTTACAAAAAGAAAACAGTCGACAATAGACTACATTAGTTACCTCCAGAATATATGTTTATAAACAATGATCCGAACTGCGGTAAATGAGGACCTGAACTATATAAACAAGTATATATTTTTGGAAACAATAAAAAAATAGCTGTCGTGCATTGAAAAGCTAAAGACGTTTCGGAATGTGATAGTACTTTCCGCCACTTTGAAGAGTTTCGAGTATTGCAGACCCCTAGCGAAACAAATTTGTTCAATTTTATCTCAAACGGCACTTCTATAAGTACGCAAACAATACATTTCAGGGAAGACTCCCAAATGATTTTAAAATAAAAGACTAAACACAAAATCTATATAAGAATCAGATGAGAAATCAATTGTAAATGAAAAGCAAAAAAAGAAACGCAAGCGAATTCTTTCAGAAACTGTTTATGATTGTCCATCTATACAATCTGGCTGTTTAACACTAACAGTAACTGCATTCGATTCGACGTGGTCTTGGATTTCAGTATTTACTACAGGTACATTTGACATACAGATTACATACCTGTTGAAAATCGGTGCAATCCATGAGATCTTGAACAGCTTTAGCAAGAACGTCATTTTTAGTTCGAGCCACTCCATCAATGTGAACCCGATTAACTCGCGCGGAAACACCTGATACGTCACTACTGACCATGCCCTCCACGGGGTTGGCTGGAGTAACCTTTGAATACCCTGTGCCCATGCTTGTAGTATTGGGCGCCCTTTAGCACGCTCACTATTACTAAATCAGTCCACCTAGAACGTCTTTCTCGACCGTCCAGACGGATTATACAGGTAGAGTGCACCAATACTGACTCCAGAGACACTTCAACCGGACCCGGCAGTTCGGAAGGCAGAAGGTCAGCAAAAAGCACTGAGTGGCGCCATATTTGTTTGCTTCCCTCGCAGAGGAGAGCCGACGATGTTATGACCGATACACAGCTTTGTGGCCGCGAACATAAGTATCAACAAATGCTTATGAATCAATGACTAGCGCCGCTAAAATCGTCACTAAAATACTAATTTTGAAAGAATATCGCACACATCTATAACCATGGTAGCAAGCAGGCCATTCCTGAAAGCAAGCCGTTGGTCAAAAATCATGTGTCTACGGCGAAAGCTTAAGGAGCGAAAGGTTTGGGGCGGAAGAGAGACAAGCTAAAGTATGTATACCCCGGCAATAGTACATACGCACCGCTTAAGAGTCAACTAGATTTCATTTACGCTTTAAAAAAATACATCTATAGCCACTGTTTCACTGATCCGATAATAATTAGTACACGCAATGCGTTCAGTTTCGATTTAACGCTCCAGAAGCGAATAGAATCGTTGTGAAATGCATAGTGCAGCGTCCTATGTTTAAATTTGTACTTGCCGCTGAAACTTCTGTAGGTTAGATTTATAAATAAAATTAAGGATCCGCATATGCAGACAAACGAGAAGCTTTGGGCAAGAGCGAAGTAGTTTCGTTTGATTGGTATTCCATGATGCAATTGTTGCCCATAGCTTTCATGTATATTATTGATCCGCGTGGTGGATTACTTGGTGGTAGATGAACGCAGAATTTTACTACAATTTTTTTGTAATAAAATGTTTCATTTTTTCAGAATTTCATATATTGAAAAACGATTGGCCGGAACCACGTTCTAAAATTAGCTTATGCTTTCTTCGTCCTGTTAACCGACGGATTGTTTTTATCGCTTTACTCTGTCTTCTTTCCTATATGATGGTCCTACGTGGAAAAACACTTATAGATCATGTTTTCAGTAAAGTAGCAGAAAGAAAGGGCATTTAGACATACATTACGGCCTTACAACATAGCTTTTGCTTCTTTTCGTAAGCAAATTGATCGTCTCATACGAAACTAGTTAATCTTTGTCTAAACATCTTTAATAGGAAAAAGAAAAATAGATATTAGCGGGCTGCATTATACTTATCGCACATTTGTCCTGAAAATCAGTTCTATCTATATCCAAAAACTTAAATAAAGAACAATTAAATTAATAAGTCCTGTTGGAATAAAACGTGTCTTACTTTTTGTCTTAGAATATATAAATCTAAGGACACTAAGGTTGCGAAAGAAGCCTTTGGGCCACCTATTGCATTTTCCATCTTTAAAGGCCCACGTTTTTCTGTATCGCTTCGTGTTTACTAAATTTTTGAAATACAACTTCCTTTATTCACACAAGTTGTGTAATATAATATAAGGTAAAAATATAACCTCTCGACGCCCTTAATAATCAGCAACACCTAAAGGCGTTTATATAAGTAGCTTTTTGTCATCTCACAATGCTTTTATGTGGCACATCATACGCTGGGATCGCGCTGGGTATAAAAGAATGAGTTTATCTCTTTTTTATAAGAACTTTGATATACATAACTAGACAAAGACAAAAGTTGAACCATAGTAAGAACATCTATGGACAGTATACGGTAATGTTAAATAATATCCGTTATAATCAAGTTACGATAACAAAAAAGCAACATATATATGTAATCCCCGACGAAATATTTTAGCTGAAAACAACAAATAAAGAGTTCTACGAGCAAGAGGTAAAACATGACTTCAAGTTTTATCTATATTCTTTTCACATACTAATATCACACTTATTACTTAATACTTGTTATTTAATGTTAATATGCGTGTGTTCGCTGAAAAAATCTAGTTGGGAATAGCACGGCTGCTATGCAAGAAAAGTTAACTAAAATTTGGCGCCCGCCAAATTTGAATTTTTCAAGTTATCTAGTGATATCATCACGAACAGTGTATCGTTAGAATCGTGTATTTTTTGGCAACCCGCTGTACAGAAAAACAAGTGTCGTCCTTTGATGACCCGGTGAGCTCTGCATTCTTTTTGAAGTTTAACTACTGCATTTTAATGGTATGAACGCTTCCCAAGTGCCACCTTTGTGCTTCAATGTACAGTGCACGAAGCCTTGTTTGTACTTTAAAAGCGTAAAGTACTTTTTTAGTGGATAAGAAGTCAAACGAGCGTATGTATAAGACATCTTTATCATACTGGTCTTATTGCACAATTAACACGTTGCCAGTACTCCTTCGACTTAATTTAACTCAATTCAAACTTTCATTATACTAAGCTGAAAAACACTTGTATCTGCATAGGCCTAAACGGATACGTAAATATATGTCTACATTCATTTTAGTCTTTACGGAAACGTATGGTTGACTCTGTCTGCCCTTACGATCGCTTATTTTAGATCAGTTAATAATACAATTATTATTTACAAAATTATCTTCTTTTTTAATTCCTTGGCTTTTCCTTAGTCATTTTCTAAAATATCTTACTTTTATGCCCATGATCACGATGATTAAAGCGGTTGTAATTTTTTGTTCTATCCAGTAGAATAAATTGTAGAATAAAAAGTTAAACAAAAGCTTATTAAATAAAGATGTACCTAAATTACAATGGTCTAATTCATACCTTTTCGTTGTTGAGTCCTGTGACCTCAACATCCCCTGAAAACAAGAGTAGCATAAAATTAATACATTGAAAGTAGAACTTCTACATAGGTAGCAAATATGACACATAGTTCTTAACTCTGTGAAACTGATTTTCAATGAATCTAATGTACAAACGCTAACGTTGTCTCGGTTTCCAGCCGAGAGTGTTGTGTGATGGAATTTAAGCTGATGCCCTGGAAACCGATCGGCGATTAATTTTGATTACATCGATAGAGTGTCGTACAGCTCTATTTATTAGATTCTAATTAATGTAATCGTCTTCGAACACGGCTTGGGAGATGCGGGTCAATCAGTATTATCTTCCGAAAATCATTACTAGTGGTTTATTCTTAGCTCCCTTACCCGTACGCTAAGTCAACGATGCAACATTGCGGGCATGACGCGAACTTGCTAGGTATGGCGTGTAGTCTGTCTCTATTTCGATAAACCCTATACCTTTTTCTAATGTAAAGCAGATTTCAATCCAATAAAAGCATACATTTCGAAAAAATCATAATTTCATCGAAGTTTATCGGTTATGGCAAAAAAGATTTACTGACTAATTCAACCAATTTCCTAAACCTGCCTTTTTCGGGCTCAGCCGATGAGTCGCTGTTAGCAGACGACACTACTGACGCAGCATATTAAACATTTATTACGCGCCTGGTTTATGCTGTCAACTATACCATGGTTTTATTCATCATTGGGCCATATTTCAAGTATATCCACGTATATTACAAGTTGAATTGAAAACAGTAAGCTAGTATGCCTTTTGCTTAGGTTTGCTTTTCCACGGTGCACTTTGGCTTTACACTAATACTTGTTTGTTTGCGCTATGATGAAACTAACGCGTTTACCCTCAAACACGTGTAGCACCAATCCAAGGTGTATAAAATGTAATAAAATAATCCGGTTTATATCTGGAATAGTTAAACATTAAGCAATGAGCTATTTTTTTTTTGTAATTAGTAGGTCCTTAAACTGATCCTTTTGTCGAGCATCGTGAGTAACCTGACGTTATTCAGTGTAATCTAAACCTGTTTTGGTGTAGTGACGTTGTTTAAAGTAATATTATCATGCAATAGGAGGTATTAAAACGACTTGAACTCCTATCAGAAATAACTGAAGGCTCGAGCAGAATATAGCTGGCGGTACATTAGGACAAACAAATAATTAGTGTTTTTTTCGTGCTTTACTTTGCGTCGTACTTAAACCGTTAGGCTTTACTTTGAACAAAAGAAATATTTGCCTTAATTTATACATAAGTCGTAAGATTATCATACGTTCGAAATAGAGAAGTTGCTTTTGCGCTTGGGAGATATCAGCTCCCTCTCTCTCTCTCGCTCTCTCTGAATATCAAATAACTGACCCACATTTTTGTAGCGCGCCGATGCGAAACTGCAGGCTTCTCCCAAGCTGTTGGATCCGCCAGTATTCAATAGGGACCGTTGAACATAGTAGACGAAATCGGTTGAACGTTGGTGGGAGCCAGGTAAGGTTATTTGTTGTTGTTAACAACCTGGCTTAGGATCTTACTCTCTGTAGCGATAATTTTGTTTTGACTAATCATTTTCTTGATTGTGTGAGTTGTATGCGCCAGTGTACACCGAGTAATACCTACAAAATTGTTGGCAGGATGGCTCAGGTGGTCCCCTTGGATCGGTCGGTGGTAATGGTCGGTTAGCCCCAGATAACGGTGAAGGAACTCCGTACTCATTTCCTATTAGTACATGCGTAACACTGTACAGCGTGATGTCCACGTGTGTGGAAAGTAAAACTCTCGGCCTACAAAAGCACCCATCTTGTATACAACCCGAACTTGCACTGGAAAGGGCTTATGTGGACTCAGCCAAAGCCGGCTGATGGAGTTGTTTTGCAGCGAATCTGAGCATCTGTCCGAGAAACCGAAGATGTTACTCAAAACACCTTTTGTTGCTCATACAGTTCCGATCGGTAACATCTTCTGCATCTTTAACGGGTCGAGTAGCCGTAGAGCGCCTGCACTGACGGCACTGTAGAGGTGCTGCTACAAATGGTTGACCAGAGCGTGACCGAAGCTTCTTTTGACCTTTAGGCTCTTCTTGTGCTTTGTAAGGAAAAATAGTTCTACTCACTATTGTGCAGGCGATCCGAGACTGAACGCGGTAATGAAAAGAGTTCTTTTCCTTTTGCCGCGAATAGATGATGCTGTCGAAGCCTTAAAGGCAGCCCAAGTATTTGCTACTTTAGATCTGACGGATGCTTACCAGCGGATCCAATTTCCGGACCTTGCCTTCACGTTCGCTTTGGAATCTATGGACTAGTCCATTTGTTTCGTTTACTTTTCCTAGCTTGTTGCGTCACAGTCAAGATCATGGAAGAAACGTTACCTACCTACACTTCGGAAACGTTACGCAGCCACGAGCGCCGTTTACGCGAGCTACCTTTGAGCCAACCGCATCAAGCAGGGTTTAATGCGTCTCCATGTTCGCCATGTGCGAAGACTGGCGTACCCCACCCGGAAGAAAACAAGTTGGTAGAGCGCACCATCTGTAGAGCGGTCGTACATAGTTTGCTCTAGGCGTTTGGGGTTTTACTCTCAAACTATTTTCCAAAGTCCCCTTCAATGTGAGTACTATTGCAAATAAGGCCTGCGCAATTTTGTCTGAATTGCTTCATGGGTCAAAGCCGTGTTGTCCGATAAGCGTCAGGACTCGCCGTTAGTTCGGACGCTTTGGCTTCCGTATCCAAGTTTTGGGTCACCAAAACAATAGTCCTTTTGTACCGACCACTTTTGTCTGAGAAGCCCGTTGTCTTACGCCACTCTAGGCAACAACCAAGCCCCTTGACAAGATCGATGCCCAGGCTCGAATATGGTCGAGAAGCAAGTAGAACAATGCACCTATATGTCGTAGTGAATTTAAGAAACATTAGGAAGAATTGGGTTTGAAATCTAAACATTGCACACAATTGCGTGATTGAGTAAAACGAGCGTAGAAAACACATTAACAGGGTACATGCGTTTTCGGTTCCGGTCACCGATAGGCATATAATACCCACCAACCGATCGGAAACAGCTATAGGTCGAGCATCTTGATAGTTACATATATGTAATATGCATATCTGTCTGAAGAACTTGAGGTGTACCATACTACCTTCATCGGTTCTGTAGCTACGTATACTTATCAAATTACTATAAATAGTACGCGACTATAATTGGAATGAGTATAATTAGTGTGAGCAATCCTAGGCGTTTCAACATCACTACACTACCTAGCTGTCATTATTAATAAAAAAGCGTTGTCCTTAGAGCTGCTGTTGGCGTGGACGCAGTTTGTCATGCCACCCGATAACTTGCTTCTAATTCTTCGTACAATTTTGTTATTAATATATGCAAATTTTGTTCGTGAGGATGACATAGCTTGAAGATGAACTGATGTAGCCCTGTGAGCCGTATTAGTCTAATGTTCATCTATCGAACAGTAATATACAGAAAAGCATCGGCAAATCAAGTTATTATACTAAATAGAAAATGAAAGTGGCAAGTTAGCGTGAGCGCCACGCAACTTGCAGGCAGTTTATGTAATTATACTTTTTATACAAAAGCAAGGCGATTCACCTTATTCGAAATGCTTCATGTCGGTGAAGACAAAGATTACGAACACAGTCACTACATGCTTTTAGTATCTATTCTGTTACATTCATTAAATAACATACATAGGAAACGATGACGTTTGGTTAGTACGCGACCTTTCAGATTGACTATAATACGAAGAGCGTTTCAAATACATATTCCATTAACAAGAATAAATTGATTTTTTGCAAGATCGGTTATTGTTTTTCCGTTACAAAATATATAACTCTGTTGCCAAATTTTCTGCTGGGCTCGTATACAGAAGTGCAGTTGGTATTTTGCCACGATATGCATAAATATTTTGCCCTTTGAACCAAACACTGCATTGCTTTTCTTGTGTGTACAACTATATAAAGTATAACGCTAAATTTAGAAACGTGTTGCTTACACGAAAAACCTCATAAGACGCGAGTGTTACTTTATTAATTTTTTTCGATGCGGCCATGTAATTCTAGTTCATAATTGTTCGCTTGAGATATTCATTTTTGTTTAATCTCAGGTCGATTGTCCTTAATTTATCACTATATAAGGTATAGCAGTAATTACAGCCCGAAGCGAGTTTACTAAAATGAAAGTTGGCTGTAATCAGACAAAATCAATTTAAAACTACTATTATGTTACGAACCTTATTGTCGGAAGTTTCAACTTTCAATTAGCTCAAGTTTTATAGTTGTTGAGTAATTTCCTTGTTGATCTTGATTTCACGATGGTTGAGCATCTTCCGTATTGTTGCCCTAATTATTTTGTCCTTATTCTATTCTAAGAATACGGAAATCATAGTAGTAAAATAATAGGTTAAGAGGTATATGACACACCCTCTTTATTGTAAAAGCGCAAAAATAACACCACGTGGTATATAGAACGGCGGTCAACAAGATTTTTAGTCGCGTCCATTTTGTTATTAATTTGTGTAGGTTAACTCTCGGAACAAAGTACCACATGAGTAATCTCAGTGTGTGCAAAACAATATTATCCTTTAAGACGCACAAAAGTTTTGTGCTATTTGCCAAGTACTTTAGTTATTTCACATATCTAGCAATATGCTTTCAATGCTTCCTGAGGTACACATCAGCTTATGGTGAGAAACCCCGACAATCATCAGGCCGAATGTACTGGCCGTTTCGCTATTTCAAATACAAATTAAAGGGTTATAGAATACTCTTTATTGGTCTTTCAAAATGCTCTAAAGTGTTTGTTTACCCCTTCTTCGGCAAAAGCGACTCGCTTAAATATTTCTGGCTAAGTACTTTGTAACCAATATATGTTTGTATCCTTATTTGCCATGAAGCAACTAATATAAGGCTTCATCAATTTGAGCCTTACTTTTAGAGTTCGTAATATGGAGCTGGAAAAATCAAAACACTTTCTTGTGTAATTTTTAATAATGTAATAAAAATGGTCCCCTTTCGTGATAGTGGAATGACTACAAAAGGCAGTTTGTGACTTTTTTATTTTAAAGACAGTTTCCCGATAATAAAAACGTAAACTAGCAACTTCCGAGACAAGCGAAGAAAGCGGGCTATTTTAGTGCTTCTTTTACCCCATTTACCTAAAACAGAAATAACAAGAAAATAAGGTAAAAAAAAAGAATAATGTCTATGTGTAGTCCATTGTAGAATATATTGACCAGTTATTAATTTCCTTTTTGGATCCCACCATGGCATACGTTCAAAAAAATAGACATACTTGAGTTCAAACATATTGAAAACGTAAGCAAGGTGAGCTTTAGTATGTCAGTAGGTTAAAATAATGTCCGCTTAATTCTGCTTATTTCTGAGTCTAGAGAAAACCACGTTGTCCAATTTAAAGACGTATAAGAGGACATATTCTTCGCATCAAGTGGGTTGAAAGAATTTATCCATTCACATTTATTGCTTTATTTGTTACCGATTTTTATCAACGAGTCAACAAAGGTATTGTCGTGTGTGTACGGCACCGCAACCTTGCTTGTCTTTTATTAAGGACTGTGGCACAACTTCGTATCCGTTTCTGTTCAGATACATGAGCCAGAAGTACCCTGTCGGTCGAAGAAAAGTAACTAAACAATTACCGCTATACGTTCTACTCAGCCAGTTAGTAGCGCTTGTTATTCTAGCGCGTGTTTATACACGTATGTTTCCCATTAGTAATTACCATAGCAATTTTTCATCCCGTAGATACACTTTTGATCACTGGAAGAAAAATTGAGACAGTATTGTTATTTACTTACGCAGCTGCGACATATATATATATATATATGGTGTTAATTTTTTTGATAAGACAGTTGGTCGCAACTTTGTATCGTAAGGCAGAGCCACAGACATGGCCCTGCTTGATATATAAATTAGCTAACTAAAATTGAATTTATCCGTGGCTCTACGAACTTTTGTTTTTAGTTCCACCGAGTTGGAACATCGAGCATCAAATCGAACACATAGATATGAAGCTTTACGTTAATTTTTTTACCTTGGTGGCTTCATTGGCGAATCATGACACACAAAACGCGTCAACTTTTAGCACCGACTCCAAGTACTAAATGATACCAACCAAATAGGAGACCAACTCAGTGCTAGGCTCACGACTACCGATCACTTAAGTCCATGGCCTTAATCTGGCGCGTTGCCATCCGGTACTTGCATTGTAATATCAACATCATAATAGTCTACTTCATTTACATTGTGGGAGATTGCATACGGAACCTAATTTGTAATTTAGAAAAAAAATTTGATGTAGGAAGATATTTTGCGTTCCATATACCTTCTTGCGTTACAGGCTATGCGAATGGATTTATTACCAAAATCTCGATTGCTGCAAAATCGTCCTTTGAGTTCGTTTAAGTAGCTGGCATAAGAATGCAAATTTCTATTTTAAAAGTAAAGCATAAATATATTCAATAACATACTTAATTTTCTATATATGTGTATATGTAAATATATATAAGTGTATATACGGAAATGGATTCTTCACGTTCTATATTCTCTGCTAGCAAACGTAAACGAGCATAAATATGAAAGCTATCGATCTGTATATATAACAATATTAGTACAACAAGGGTTTATGTCACTGAGTAAAGCCTAGGAAATTCGAGAATTGTAACTCATAACATTTATTTGAGTTTAAAGTTTCGGAACATCACAAGACCCGCTTTTCGATAGGAGTTTAAAAGAGGTATCATGTTTTTTTGAATTTCTGTGGCTTACCGAATGCGAAGCCATCAGTAGGTGTAAGGTAGGTGTAGGTTAAAAACTCTAAATCCCTAAGCCACGGAGGCAGGTGAATTCTTTGGGTACGTTCGTTCAGTTCTGTGACATGAAAAAGCCCATTGATGGTAACCATTTCACATGCGTGTGAGCTCACATTATAATATAAGACTTTTTGAAACCACATGCGATAGCGCTCATTCTATGCTTGTATTGTTGTCCATCACATATTATAAGCAAAAGTAGGGCTACTGCGTCAACTGTTGCTTTATTTTTTTTTATTTAAAAGTTTATTAAAATACAGTAATGGCACATACTATTTTTTTTTTGTAGCCAAGCCACCTCGTTGGTCAAAGGATGGATGGAAAGTGACCACATCCTACGCTCTCAAACGCTAGAAAATGCATTATGCATATGCAAATTCGCTAAGTGAGGGTGAATCTCTTTGTTGACATCTTGGTTTAGCAGTATACATAAACAAACCTTCACTGTGAATCCGTTCGAAAATTCAATCTGGTCTATAGAATAGGTGTGTGAACGACTGGTTTCGTAATAGCGTTGTGGGTAACGTGCGCGAACGGTAATTTTAGGGACACGTGAAGGGTTAGATTCGAATCCAGACGTACCCACATGTGGTTTTGTGCTGCTGAAAGCCAGCCATCGAAGGTATTCCCTAACGGTATAGGCACTGGAAAACTTTAAATTCTCGAATGATTTAAATTTACGGTTGAATTTGTGTAAATGTCGAGGAATCAAAGTTTCAAGGAGAAACAATTATATAATGCACATCTTCACACCGACTATCATCGGTTTTAACCCGTTTATAATTAACTTCGATCCTTCTTTTAGATTTACGGGCACGTTATTACGTTCTTATAGCGTCATCTCACGTTTGACAGTTCAACAATTGGCGTCTTCGTTGACTACCAAAAAGTTTAAGTCAGCTCCTGAACACTTGTTATAAAATATCGAATATATGTACATTAAACCGTCAAAAAAATATAGCTGGTAACAGTTTAATAGTGACATGGCCAGAATCTTACGCCGCATATGCATATATAATATATGTAGGTAAAAGATTTGATAAAAATTGAAAGCACACATATGTCAAAAGCTACGTCTACTCTAACTTTCTCTAACTCAGCATTTTCTTCAGATTTGCTTTTTGATTGATGAAAGATAAGGACTGATTTCTGTGAAGTATGTCATTGTTGTACTGAGTTGATTGATCACGTACGTGGTCAATGGCCGACTTGCACGGGCACACAACATAATTTTGGCCAATCCTTATCAAGCTTATTATCCTTTCCCGTACAACAAAGCCACCGCTGAGCCACGATGTGTTCATGAGTGTAAAAATAATACCAACGGACCGCCTTGAACGACCTTGCTGTGTGTGGTCCACTGACTGATTTACGGGGCGGACTTCTACTGAAAGCTGTTCGTTTATAACTCGAATATAGGTCAGTCATTGGAGCCAACTATGAAGTATTCCATTAGAAAAGGCAGTGATTTGACAGTGGATCAAACTGTATAGTATGGCAGATGTAACTGGGAAAACTAGGATGCGATGATCGCCGAATGTTGCGACAAATCATCTCATACCAATGCTACTCCTGCTAATGTTGCTACAGAATAACACTAACCTTTCACAGCTTGTAGCTATTCTTGCTAACGTACCCGTCAGCGCCGCCAGTTGTGGAGCAGTATGAGTCCATCTGCTAATCACTACACCTGCTATACATTCATAGGGCACCCAGTGCTATGTAAACCAGTATCGGATCGTCCCAGTGTCACGCTTGCTGTCGTTGTCGTCCGCTGGTAAACATTACATGTGATCGCTACTAAGAGCGCGTGTTGCTTGAATCGGTGTTACCACAGCACAACACAGGCACAGCACGGCAAAGAGTACCGTACCAACCAACGAACAATACTTTTGACATGACCACCACTGGCACTGGCCTGCTTCACTTCTCTCGGCTCCACTGAACTGCTGCTGATGCTGCTTAGCTTTGGACCCTGGTTCGCTCCACCCGTCGTTTGGCCGCCTGCCTGCTTCGTGGGCCTGCTCTCGCTGCCGACACGGCCGTTGCTGTTTCGCTACCAAGGGCGTCTGATTGAAAGCAAAGCTCGCAGGCTCAGCGTACAACACACAAGCAAGCGCACGCGGGCCTTTACAGGCCACGCAGGCTCATCTACACAGACAGATACACATACGAACTCGCTCACTTACACATATAGACATGGGCACATAGAGACACATCGCGAGGCCGAATAGAGAGAGAAGGCGGGGGAGAGGCGCATGCGCAATACGCGCAACCGAGCTCTTCTGTGCACTCTGACTATCCACACCATCGCCATCATCATCTTGCTAACCCCTGTGCCTCCCCGCCTTTTTTCTCTCTGCTCCCCGTCGCGTCCTTAGGTCCCGTTTCGCCTGACCTCTCTAGGTTTATTTCAGAACTGGCTAGCTTCGAAGACCAGTCAGAAAACGTTGCCTCTCTGCTTTTCACTCTCGCTAAGCGCGCCAAACAGGCCGGACCACTGGGAATTAACGTTTTCTCGGACCGCAAGCGCTGCCTGGCCCTCAATTTACAGCTTATGGTTCGCTCTTCTTCAAGCCAGAAGGAAAAATCGTACTTTAGGGGGAATAGACGACTGCAACGACGAGCACAAAGAAGAACCTATTTAGACGGAATTCGCGTGAAGACAGCTACTTTCGATAGCATTATAATCAAAAATTACTTCTCACTATTCATTACAGGTATTGTTCGTTAAAAACTCCAATAGTAATAACAATAATGCATGTCAAAGCTACCTTAGAGCGAAGGTGCACCGGAAATATACAGTACAGGCAACTTTAGAGGTTGCTAACAGGTTTAAGCTTAGTATCGACGGAAAGGAGCTACTTGTTCTCGATATTCGATGGCAGCGATGGCGAGCGAGAGAATACACTCATGCGAATTATCGGTGTCTCCAACTCCTTTCAGTCGATAAAATATCTACATGCCTTTTTAAAAGAAAGCTTAATATAATAAATAGCAGCAAATGCATTCATATCTATTGTACCATATTTGTCATACTAAAAATTAGTGAAGATTGATGAAAGCAAGACTCGCCCATGATACTATGGCTTAATTACAAGACATATTATAATGCACGACATTTTATTCTGCGTCCATCTCTCCTAATATGGGATTTTTTGTCTGAAAGTTTGATGCGTAAAGGTTTTCTTCAACGGGTGATACTTCTATAAAACCAATGTCAATATTCTAGCATTTTTACTTTTTGTTGGGTAAACATAATTGCACGGAGCACTGATATAAGAAATTTGAATCGTTTGCAAAAACGATTCGGTCGCAGCTCATGGTTGTAAAATCAATTCCGTAGCTAAACAACACTTCTTAATTATTCCGCATTTTCTATTGAAACCAGATTAAAACGGTACCGCCAAGGTGGTAAAGTCACATAAATAGATGGACAGTTTCTTCTAAGAAGAACTGAAAGAAAGAAATGACAACATACTAAGATATCTGGAAAGAATTTTATTGTATTTTTACTACTAAGCCCTATGCATCAATGTATGAAGATGCCCCAGTATTGTGTTCGTAGTCAGCAAACAATTCATAATGATATTTTCACTTTGTTTACAAAAATGCCATTTGTTTGATACTTTGTGCGAAGAGAGTTCAGTTATGAAAATTCTGGGGGAACCTACGCCGCTCAAAGGTCGCTACCAACTGCGAGATAAGCAAAACAATTTTCTAATAGAGGCCCTTTCCTTGTAAAACCAGCTCATCATTTTAATTATAAAATTTCTTGCGTATTTATAGCGCGGTTACGTTACATATGCATACAAGTATCCTGTATACAAATGGGTCTGTAAAACCCATAACGGATAGTGAATACTCGTACAGGTCCGCTCCGCTCCACTACAACCCCTCGTTCCGGCTAGTAACTATCCGTTTAACCTTGAGACCATCTGGGCTCGACAAATAGTTCAACCATCCACCTTTCTCCTCAGATACTATCCTCTCCCCCTGCTTCCCCTCAATCAAGATGACCCCACTATATGGGTTTAGACAAACCATTTGTATTCGAATATGTTTTGGTTGTTTAATAGCATTAACTAAATATAAAGTTGTCTTTCAATAAATTATTATTCACAAATATTTAAAGTAATTTCTAGCTATGCAGGCGGTTTCAAGATCGTAAAAAAAAGGTACGTACGAATTAGAAACACTATCTTAATTTTCTAAGCACTGTATGGTAAAACAGCACCGCCTGGTTTAGATCAGCAACTTCCTGCTTTTTTAGCGAAACCCTTAATTTGTTAACGCACTTCGATAATTACTTCACAGGTTTTCACACCTTTTAAAAACCGGAAAAATCTTATAATAAGCAAGCATCATGATTTCAGGAAACAAGATACGGGCTTTAATTGTGGTGTAAAACTCATAAATTCGTAAAGTTCTCAAGATAATAGGTGCTGAAGAATCGGGTAGTATCAGACTGAGATATTATGGAATGAACATGCACATACAGATCTCGTAAACTCAAAGTTGACTCAAGAAATATTCTCTAACTTAAAAAAAAATAAAATATATGTATGTATAAGAAGTCCTTAGTTTTAAGAACCGGCTATTTCACTACAGTCAGTGCACTTATCACGGCGAGTTGGTCTTGTCTTGTTACTGGGGCACAGTGCATAACCCAAGCCAGAACAATTATTTTGCATTAAGTCATTCGCCGGTGCCCAGTCTACTGTCGGTCGTGACATTAAGGTCGCTTCTAAAAGCTAAAATCTTTTTACTGTTCAAATATTTGTGTGATATGATATAAATCTAAAATGGCATTTGAAAAATCTACGTTTATTACTTTTTTTTTTTTACTTAGTTTTTTGTGAATGTCTCTTCGATTTGTCAAAGGATTAACTTTTTCTGCAAAGTTAGAAGCTTGGGGGGTTTAGAGTACATTTAGTCAATCTTTATTAAAATCGTCTCTAGGATACAAAATTATTAGTCCTACACATTTTCAAAGCTCTACGGAAAAATACTTAGCGGTACTAAGTACAACAAATGAAGACGCCTCGCGGAAAACTATATGTCACCAAATCTCTCCCTCAGTAGCCTGAATGTTTTGAATGCACAATGGCAAGTATGAACATATAGTTTAAGTCTAATTCATTTAGCTTCGGCTACAAAGAGTCTTCTATCTGAAAAAGTAAACTGGCCAGTTTACCTAACATGCTCTCAACCACTGCACTAACGACATTGTCTGTCTCGCGCAAGGAAACCTACAAACCGACGATACAAACCTTTCCACGAGACGGTGCAAAAGGTTCCTGTAAAAGACACCTAATGTTTAATGTACGATTTCGGCGTGGAGGTAGGAGGTTCAGAACGACCGTTTTTATTATTTCAGATCGAGCTACTACATCAACAATGGCCCTATATTTTGATACTCGTGCATTGAAACTCTATGATTGTCATAACGAAAAAGGAGATCAGTATTACGCCCGACCGTGTGGTGGCTCATCAGTCAGTTTATTTCCACGACAGTTGCCTAAATAGGCATGCTAATTTAAGGACTACTATATTTTCTAATGCATTCTAAACCTTCATACTGTAGTTGCAGGCTGTGCTATCGGCGTTCCTTGGTTGCGCTTCAGAAAACACGGCTTGACATCTCATAGCTTGACTAAAAAATCAAGCGTTCTCCATAGCCTGCCCCTTCCCTTCTCGTCGATCACGGTTCGGCTTGGACCTATCCGCTTCTTTTCGTGGCCAAGAGCTTCTCAAATGCTGATAAAAACAATGTCGTTGATATGCTTATAAAATCGTACCGGCTAGAAAGGAGGATGACCATTCCTCTTATCGTTGAAGTTGTGAGCATGCAAAAGTAGGTCATGCTCTTTAAGCGTTCTGGCACCAGTAGCGGCAGGTCCGTTTAACAAAACTCGAACAACGAACATCTGAAAGAGACTTGTCTCCATTTGTACAGTCTAAAACAAGCCCGAAAACAAAAAAAAAAATACTATGAGCACCATGAATGCTAAAAGACAGGTTTTTTTTTTTATTTTTTACGCTATGAGCATTTCATTGAGGTATTTCTTAATTTCGCGGTATTGAACGACATTAGTGTAGAAATTATCTAAGTTAATAGCATCAAGAGTTTTACTTAGTGTAGAAATTATCTAAGTTAATAACATCAAGAGTTTTACTCATAGTTTCTGCAATTGTTCTGAACTCATAAAGCTCAGAGTCAGATTTGAACCTAGACCGAAATGTATGTAGATTTACTACAACGCTTAGCACTTTAATGTTTATTTCATCAATATATTTCAAGTAGCTAATTGTACGCAGATGGTAGAGCTTAAATCAACTTGTGCTGGCTGCCCGTTGAGAAAAACTTTGTCGGATACTTGCGAATCGATAAATGCAACACATACGTGCGCAATACACATTAAGAGAGGTGCGCAAATTCACTAGGCCCTAAGAATCCGACCACAATAAGGCTGTCACATATGCTTTATTCAAACCTTTTTGACCTTTAAAATTTTGAACAGTCGGTCAGCTCTGATCCTTCGGAAACGCTAGAGATTTTGCCAATAGCATGCACCGTTCGAATAGACGGAAGTTTAATTCTCTACATTAGGGTAAGTAAGGGTCTGGGGTGTTAAGCTGTTGTCATCGAAACTGATTATTTGAATATCATTTTTTTAATGCAAAATGTCGACGAAAGACGACCAGGTTTCCTTGACCTGATTCTGAGAATGCTCAGACAAACAGCAATCTAATTGAAGTGAAAACTGCCAAAAACCCTCGATATTGTGGTATGTGTTAGAGCGTATCATAAGCGTCGATGGAAGATATTTGGAAATTATCTGATATACCTATGTGATTTTTAAGGAGTACATAAACATGATAATGATTCATAGTAATATCAGAGGCCTGTATTTGAGAAGAAGACACATATTATATACACAAGTGACACAGGCTCAAATCATGCCGAATTTTGTTGCAAAGAAGAAAAATTATCATTAGTACATTTGATCAGCATATAGGTTCTAATGGATCCCCGGTTTCATAGGCGCCTCACCTATAGTATTAGATATTATTTAGACCCTTCCTACATATTTAGACATACAATGTCGGAA